TTCCTCGCAGGTTGTTTATCATCCTGGAATGCTCCTACGTTTTGACTATGCCTTTGACAAAAGTTTAAGGTTAGTTTTTACATGTTGTACTTTCAGTCTTATAAAAAAGACGTGTTACTGGTAAACCTTTAATCATTTGATAATAAATTAATTCATGCAATATCAAGGTAATCAGGGAATACAAGTATTTACAAAACCAGATTCATCCAAAACTACGTGCCAGTTTTTTCTCTGTGGTATTACACTCGAATTTATGTTAAAAGCTGGTGACCATCGTCAGGATTCACAAGATGGAATAGAGAGCTGCCTACCAGGTAACCGAGAAGAGGGCTGATTAACAACTGCTACAATTGCAGTCACGAGCACTAGCTTTATATTTACAACCCGTTGGAAACCCACACGGGGTACACCAACCACGGCGTCCTTCTCCGTCGGAATGCCCAAGATGGCACTAAAGCTCCGGCTCGCAATTTTCCTCGCAGCGTCGAGGGCGCGACGCTTCTGACAATTTCATTTCGCCCGAAAAAACAGACCGCGAATAATTATAACAGCTAAAAAGGAGCACAGGAACAGTCGCTGCTTTAGAAACTTATACACAATTTGTGTCCATGTATAGAATAAGGTATAATGAAAAATAGATATGCAATAGAAGGCAGTTCGAATACGAGTCAAAATAGCAATGCATTAGACGCTGGACTGCTAAAGTCATTCGAGTACTTATTAATTAATTAAATCTTTATTCACGTCGCGGTACGATGGTAGACTTGAATTAAGAGAAATAATTAAAGTTAAATTAGGATTCTTCTGCAAATGACACTTTTACAAGGTAACGAGGAAGCAACGAGCAAAATCATTGTCAGAATTTTTAATTTTTCGCTTCAATTGAGATTTTAACTTTTTGAGCTTAATGTTGCTAAAGACTACTAATGTTGGTGAAGAAATAGGTTTTTTTTTCCCCTTACCCATAGTCTTATTTGGTATGGTCAACCACAGCCTTCCGGGCGTTTTTTAATTGGCACCACGTGATATGAAATTCTTATCGGACTTTCGCAAATAAATTTTCAATCTCCCTGTGATAATATTTCCTGACTACCCAGAGGGATCTGCTCTTGTAATCAAGTTTATCCTTTCGATTCCTGTGACCTCAAACATTATCTGCATCTACCGATCGAACGAGTTAATTGCGCAATTTCCACTTAATTGCTTCGGATTCGAGCTGATCACCTTATTAGCAATGAATTTTCCCAAGCAGAAACGTCATACTCTGAAATCTTACAGGAAGTGGAAATCTGCAGCTTCGACGTTCAACGGTTGCTGTCCTCTCTTTTTTTAATCAGATTCCTTCAGCAGGATATTAACAAGACAAAAAAGGATTTACGTCTCTTCATAGCATTTTCGTCTCGTCGATAAATTACCACAAAACACGGACCAATATAAATCCGATCTCACTCTTTTTATTAATTTTGAAATAAGCTGCAATTCAAAAAATATCAAGCATAACTTTTCGATGGTATTTCAAATTATTTTTTATCGCGATAAGAAAAAAAAAGTCCGTCTTCACGGAACCTGAAAAATGACGCAATCGTGAATTTTGAATTAGTCGATAGTGCATTGTCTTCAATTCTCGTGGAAGACAATGGCCAAGACAAGGACCTTAATTAGGACATTGGTAGGTCATCAAGCAACGCCCTTCGTTCAAGGCCTGAATTTAATTTTTGATAGGTACTCCCAGATTCTCAGGATTGTCTGGTTAAATTATTTTTTATTAATATAACCTCGTTCCAATCCTTTCGTTCCCCTCTGTATTATAGCAGCAGGCTAATCTTCGACGTCTACCATTTCCTCAACGTTCAAATTTTACCTTCTTACGTCGTTCGCCCAGAACGCATATTCGTGAGCTCACGAATATTCGTGATTCCCTGTAGGACAATTTTACGAAAATTAAACCATCACGTTATTCACTCTATTTACGCATCCATTGTGAGATTCGATTGTACGAAAGTTCGTTGCAGATTTAACAACCTGTCTACCGTGTCCACTGTTATTTCAACGATTCGAACGCTCTATTTTCGCTGGTGAATGCTTTGAAGTAATACGTCGAATATATCGACGAGGAGATACCGAAATTTTATTGAAATTACCAATCTGTTTAAATTAATAGAACGTGCAGTGTAGTAGAAAGACAAAGTGGGAATTAAATGTATTTTTGAGAAATATCGGCAATCCTATCCAAGTATCTTTTAGCGGCAGACAGTTAATAGTGAATTGAATTTTGTTTTGTTAAAAAATTATTAAAAATAACTATGGGGCTACGTAGGTCGGCGATTCAATTTTTATATATGTCTCTGCCATTTTTTTATTGCAGCCTTTTTCTCCTCAGTCTTATTGTATACTGGACGTTCACGATATCTTCCGTTAACGTTATTTCAGTCCATTGAAAATTACGACTGTTTTTCATGAAACTACGAGTTTGCTATTAAAGTTTTTCGATCCATTGAACAAGTTTTCGCGAGCGATTAATGCACTTCGCAAAGCGCGGGAAATTCAATTTTCATATTTTAATTCATCGAGCGAGACCTTAAATCAAAGTTCTAGCGTGAAATTTATCTGTGTGTGTTTTTACAGAAAAGTCCAAAGATACTATATCTCGTTTCCACACTTTGTACATTATACAAGAATAACAATTTTCCCATTAACTCAAAGAGCATTCCGTCGAAATTTACTCTGCGAGTGAATTAAATATTAATGTACCACAGCAAAAGAAAGTGGCGCCCGTATTAAAATTTTCAAATATTATCTCACCAATTTCCAACTGAATGGGCATGACAAGCTTTAAATATCAAATCGTTCAGCCGCTTCTTCCTTTTCGAACGATATTCACATAAAATAGTCTGACGTAGCATTTTACGTATTTCATAAAATTTCATATTTCATGTGTCACATTAAACGCCGGATTTACCAAAAACTTTCTCGAAATGCAAAACAATCACCAAGTGCTCCATTGGTAATTCAAAACTTTTAAGAACATTCAAATAAAATTTTCACATCCCCAAGCAAAACTTTTGGCAAACCCAACAAAAATATCACCAAATTTACGATAACCCGGTACCCCTAACCTAACCTTCCAAAAGCTAACTACAGAACTAGCGCATTTACGATACCACCAGTTGATCCCAACCACTCAGGGGTAATTCCCACCCTGGCCATCCCTCTCGTTCACGTTCCAACCCCAGCTAGTTAATCGGCATCTCATAGGTTAAGGTTAGTTACACCATAGAGGTGAAAGGTTAGAGGAAGTTTACTTAATCAAGATTAACAATGTCTCTTCGACCAAACTACTTATCAACGGGTCATAACCTCAAAATGTGTACTCAACAGTGACACTTCGTTGATCAATATTAATTAATACTACTATACCTATAGCGCATCCAAAAAATTACTCAAAATCCCACGATACGTCTGCCTCGACAATGACACGATTATATCCCCACATGTCCCGAGCATTCAGACACGTGTCAGCTGTCATTCAGTCACTTGGCAGAATGCGATACGGATACCTATTTTATATCATTCTCCGGAATTACATTTGTTTGTCAAAAATACTCAAAAAATTTCGTTCAAGTATTTTACCTTTTTTATAGATTTTTTTTTTGTGCTGTCCGATATTAACCGTGAATCGTTAACAACCCCCCTCCCCCCCCCCCCCCCCCCCCCCCCCCCCCCCCCCCCCCCCCCCC